CATCTGATTGGTAATTTCAAAATGGCAAAACACTGCCGAAATAACATGGTAGATAATTTGACAAAAAAAAAAAAGGACAAAGTAATTTGCATCAGTATTAATTCACAAGTGAAAGTCTGTAAGAATAATATGTTCAATTACACACTTTTTCAATTGCTATCAGGTAAGAATTGAAATCAACAGCTACCAGGTATTTGACAGGAGGGAGGGGAGCAATTGTTTTTCTTCCCATCCTAATTCCTAACGGCAAGCTTTCGTTCATCTCCTTTAGTCAGTCATTAATCTGGTCTCAAATGTGGTAAGCTAAGATGAGTCAATAGCGTATGAAAAAAGAAGTACTCATTACCATTCCCACACTGGCAATATATTCTTGGAGGAGAAAAAGAATGATCCATTAATAACTCCTGCCAGTTGTCCTAGAGAAAAGGTTACAGAGGCAAAGATGTCATTACTTTGGGCTTCTAAGAATATTTTAATTAATTCAGCAGAATGACTGTTAAAACCGAAGCATATAGGTAGGACAAAGCTTAAAACAAAACAAAAAAAATGCACGATCATCATCTTCCTTCAACCTGAGGTCTTGCTCTTTTCCAAGGATTCTGTATTTCTAATATTTATCTAAAGGTGGCAGCAACTGTTTATTCTTACAGGCCCAGAATTAATCTTTGAAGAGCTTCAAATGCTGTATCACAAGGTTCTATCCAGAAATAAGTCAAATTAATACTCAGTGTCAGCCTAATGTTATGTCAAGAATCAAGTTTTTCTAATGAACACAACCTGTAGATGACAAATTTTCTGCACACCAGTCATCTTCAACTTTGTTTTTTACGTTACTGATGTAAAAGCAATACAGTCTGATTTACTTATCCACCGAATAACAATTAACGTAACAAGAAGACACTCCGAATTAGACATATTCCACTATCAGAACCCGTATGTTAGAAAGATACAAAAGTGGAAAATATTTCCTACCTCAGTCAAAAAACCCTCTACCCCCAAATGCCTGCTTTGCCTTTCCCCTCCAAAATAACATCCAGAATGCACGTAAGCTATGGAGAAGGCTCTTCTAAATTCTAAACAAAAGACAAACTTGAAATATTTAGTACAAGGTACTAGTGGGAGGAATCTTGTTACAGTCTTCCTAAATTTCAATTTGTTCTTTGTTCTCAGAATTAGCACCCACACCTTTAATCGGTTCTCATTATCGCTGTAATTACTAATGTCATTAATCAAGTTACAGAAAACAGTCTAGCCTATTTAACTCTACAGACTATATCCTTACATGATACTCAAATGAAAAGAAAGCAAAAAATGGTTCTGGCGAAGAAGAATTAGGGGCAGGGCTCTGGCCCGCAGGGAGAAGCCTGTGTGCAGGGGAGGTAAAAGGAGGAAGGCAATGAAGAGGGTCTGCAGTTCCACAGGGACACCCATATTTACTTACAGCTAAGCTCCTAAGCACTTCCTGCAGAAACAGGAGCAGCATGAATTTCACTTTCTTCACTCCTATCCTTTAGGAAGGAATAAGGCTCAATAAGATAAGTAAGCTTGTAAACAAGCCCTTCAAGTTCTTTCCTCTTCAGTTCCACTTGGAAGGAAGTGTTCTTTGGTGGCATTTTTTTTTGTTTTTGAAACTATGCATTAGCTACAAGATACACATTACATATATGATGTGCATATCTATATCGTTCCATACATAAGCACGTGTAAGTATGGGTGTATGCATATATAGATTCTAATAATTTATTTTAAAAATACTTGTAGGGTATTAGAAATTAAACTGACTAACCATCTAAAATGAATATTACTTTTCACATCCCCCAGGAAGTTCAAAAGAACATCACTTAAAACATAAATGTTACCTTGGTAAAGGGGATGAAGTGATATGCTTCATCCGAAATCTGACCGCACTAAGGTTTAAGAACGATTTGAATATACTGCTCTGGGTAATTTACCCCAACAAAACAACAACCACCACCCCAAGTTGCAAATTCTGAACTGAATTTAATTAATTTCAAGCTATATCCTCAAGGTGCGTGTTCTTTGGTTTGCTCGGCTACAGTTGGACCTTACTTTTTCCAGTCAGGATGAATTTGAGATCGACAACACATTTCACTGCACTTTCCATAAAAAACTGATATTGCAGGTTTCAGACTAAATGGGTTTTGATACACAGTTGGCCCATCCCTGGGCTTCAAACGAGACCTGCAGTTCTGCTAGTCATCTCCCCAGTGTCTGAGCCTGCCAACTACCAACTTGCAGAACAGCTTCTGAAGTCAATGAATGGTGCTGCTTCTGGTCACTTAATTACTCCATTTGCCTCAAAGTAACAGACCAACTAACAGGACGCAGCGACTGAACTAACTTCACAGTATTACATATTACCAAGGAGACCTGCCTTTAACTGGGAGATATTTCAAAGCTATGACAGCTATTTATTTATTTGTGATCAGTGGAGGAAGCATGGCTCCACTAGATAAATGCATTTAAATATAAAGTAATGCAAAAGCTTCTGAAGATGATGGAAAGATTAGTGAAATATACTCCCATGTATACTAGAACATTAGGAAAAATGCTAAACAACATAGCAGAAAAAATAATTTTTCCACAACTCAAAAACATTTCGTTTGAAAACCTAATTTCATCTATTTTTTCATAATTAATTATCTATATTTTCAAGAAATACCAGCATGGGTGCTAGAACAATGATTTTAGAACTGAATAAGAATGTATCCGTATTCATGAACACACCAATAAAGCTTGTAATTATAGTATAGATACAGTATTTCTGTAGTAAACTTAGCATTGCATTAAGAATACCAATCTGAATATTGAAAGGAACAGCAGATGTTTAAACAGACTATTGCACCTTATGTATTACAAGACAATTACAATTTCCAATAATATGACTGCATTGCCTTTTATAATTATTGATACTGGTTATTTGCTAATGAGGACTTTTTTTCTTTTTTTTTTTTTGTAGACTTCCCATTGCTCAGTGAGGCTAACACACAGAAAGTCACTGGAATTTAGGGTCAACTATTACTTGGTTTACAGTTATTATAGTTTCTGTCAAATTTAAACTTATCCACAGGGAGTCTGTAACCCAGCGTGAGGAAAAAGTTGACAGCATGAAGAACAGCAGAAGCACTGTATCCATGAGGAGATTTATTACTCCCTGGTCCTGTACCACGTCTATAGTCTGTACCAGGTGTATACACACACAGACCATGTCTGTGCACAGTCAGAATGACAGGCAAGGAATATGGAAACAAGTCACCATCTGGTATCAGAGGATGGCTCAATAAGCCCATTTTAGCTACGGAGTTGTAATAGAGAGAATGGGGGTATGCTTCATGGGACATGGTAGGGTCTAGTGTGTGTTAAAAAAGTAAAAGTCAAGCAGAAGTTTATGAAACTCAGTGGCAAATTTTTTTTTTCCACTTGTTTAGGATAAAGGTTAATATTTGGGTCAGTTGAATCAGGAACTCAATTTTGGACAGGTCAAGCTTATGAGAATAAAATAATTTCAGAGGCTGAAATGTCTGGTGGTTTATTAATACGGATTTATTAACAGGAAGGATGGAAGTGAGCATCATTAACAAACAGATGACAAACAAAGGCTTGATATGAGATTTATTCCACATGGAATAGAAAAATTGTAGAGGATACCTTCTCCCATCAGTGCAGCAACTGCTCCTCCCTCCTCCCCACCACAAGAAAAACAAAACAAAGGAAATCCTATTAATGTGGAAGGGGAAAAAAATGAGAGGAAGTTTACAAGAAATTTTGTGCATTTTTTCTGAGTTTGAGAAGACACTAAAAGAAAAGAATGATTGACAGAACAGTTCTGACTTATGACCGCAAAGTTAGTAGTAACCTCAGTATCAGTAGCTAAAATGTAAGCACCAAACTGGAGATGATTTCACCTTTCCTCAAGTTTACCTTTGGTGTTTTAGAGGAAAGGGATGCAAGACAAAATAACAGCCAGAAAAAAGAACATATAAAGGTGGCTGCACAAAATATAGTTCTGATAATAGTGTACAGGAATGTATTCTAGATTTATGAGAGAGGAGAATTACCAGAAAGAACTAAGTAAGGCTCTCCATATTTATAATTGATGTCTACTGGGGGGGAAGAAACAACAACTAAACAAAACCCCCAAGTCAGCTTGCACTTCTCTTCTACAGTTTGGAGACTCATTGAGAAAGAAAAACAATTTTTTTATTCCAGCTGTGCAGAACATGGGAAGTTTTAAAGTGTTCTGTCTTAGAGCAGAACATAAATCTCCTTTAGACAAAAGGAGATTATTTTCAGAAATTTCAGTCTAAGAGAACAACTAAACCAGTTTATTTTCCTAAAGAATACTTTGTGAAATATGTGAAAAACCTCCCCAGAAAATAGTTTTTGTTGCTCGGGAAATGGATGGTAAATACCAATTTCACATATTGACCAGACCTTTTTTACCTAATCAGATGTTTTTAGTCTAATCTTGGAAATTCACCTTAAGATATGTGACTTATGCAACGTAACAAAACTCTAAACTAACTGATTTCTGTCAAGATCAAAGTAAATTCCAAAAAATCCATGGGAAGTTTAGTAATAACCACTTTTTCCACAGACTTGTGAAGAAATGGCAATGCAGAACAGGCTTTTAGTAGGAAATATTTCAGGCCACTCAGAAATGTTTCTGGATGAACAAAAGTAGAGAGACAAATCGATATCAAGGTTGCTAAAAAGAGGGAGGAAAATGACTTCTCACAAGGTGGGTAGGGGATGTTGCCTCTAGAACTGAAGAGTAGGGAAGCAAAGATAGCAGAAGAGTGTGAAGTGGTGCTTGATGGAGAAATGCTGGAGCCTAGAAGTTTACTTCTGTGAAGTTAGCATATTCAGACCCATGATTTCAATATATAATTAGGCTCAAGCTCATTTGAACACAGAATAACTCATGTGCAAATCATTTCATGTCCATGCACAAAGTACTCCAGCTTTGATTGACTTACCTCCCATAATTTTAGACTGGCAGTTGATAAATTCTGGCTTCTTGTCTGTAAGGTATCGCTGACAAGTGTGATGTAGAACCTGAAAGAATGTGCATTTTTCTGAAGCTGTGCTTGCTACCCATTGGTCAAAAGCATTTTCAAATAGTAAATCAAATTCTGGGGAATCCTGGAAGAAAAAAAACACACACTACTATTATTCCAGTTTTATAAATGATTTGGAGAAAGATATAGAGCTATTATTTTTTAAAAGGTATTATGTTGGAAAAAGCAGAAAGGTCATGCAACTCAACACCATCCTGGGATTATTTTTCCTTTGCATATTTTTGGATAAAAAAAAAAACAACCAATCAAAAAAAAAACAGGCAGGAAGTTTTTTTCTTGTAGGTATTTTTAACGAGCAATATTCAGCTATGACAAAAATACCTGAAAAGAAAAATACTTTAGACCAGAAAATTAAAAGTGGGAATCCCAGAAGAAATCCTTGTTATCTACAGATATATAGTTACTTGTGTCTTCTACATTACGCAAGGATTTGTTCCTCTCAGCACAAAATCTACTTTCACACTGTATTATAGAAGATGTGATTCTGCTCTTGATGCTCAATCAAAGAAGGAAAACAAAGAACAAGTCCTAGTTATTGTTTTTAATGTATTATCATAAAGTGTTGCACAGGTCTCAGGATAACATGAACAAAAGAGCGCTCTCCGAACAAATCAAAGCGCAGCTCTATACCATGCATCAACTGCCAAAATAAATGGATTTTATGCAAGAAGTATTGCTTGCAATATTTGCTAAATATTGTTTTTTACTCTAATCTAGTAAATGCTTTTTTGAATCGATGACACTAGGAATCACAGGAAGACAAGTTTAAAAGGAACATGTCTAAGCTTAAGAACTTGATAGGACTTTCAATCTGGGAGTATCCCAAGTATCTGTTATTTACATAGCTACATAGCAGATGCTGGGAAAGTGCCTAGAACTCATATCCCTTATCTATTTGTCATTGCTCTCATTTTCATTGTCCCTTTACCCGGAGAAAATATAACTCCACCCCCTGCATTTCATAGGGCAGTGGCCAAAGGGCTTCTTTTTTGTACAGGAGACTGTACTGGGTAGTAACAGAATTTGGTGCACCATTGCTAAGATGCTTAGGTGGCTGATCAGAGCACAGCTTTGAACACACCAAGAGGGGTTAGTCACAAACACATTGTGCTGTACAATGAACACAGTAAGTCACTTTGCGATCACATAGTATCAGGCACATTCCTAACTTCTAATTCTGCTGGTTTACTACTGAAGATTTGTATTCATAAACTTATTACACATTAGTACGACTTTATCTTGAAACTGCTCAAGGTGGGCTGTATATTTCACATTCAAGGAATAATTCCGGAACGATTTAGTACGGGCATTGTTTATTTGTTTTATTTTTTTGGTTTAAATCAGCATTCACATGCCATTGGCAACTAAACCACACCACCACCCTTTGCAGAAAAAGGTAAGAAATGCAGAAGGATCTGAGGAGAGGATTGTCCTAGAAAAAATGCAAGGTTCACCAATATTTCACAAACTTAAAGTAGGGGAAGACAGGAAGAAAAAAAAAACCATATGACTATGAGCTTTGGCCTCCTCCCATCTTTCCCATTAAAATCTATTCCACATTTGTGAAATATTCCATTGAGTTGTTTCTTTTTTGAGAACTTGCACTTAAACCTGTGTCTTATATTTCCAGACACCTTTTGAATAGTGAGAGAATGCCCGATTTACAAATCAGTTATAAAAGAGCTCAATTTTCATTTTCTAGAACTGTTCAAACTCACCCGATTAGGGTCTATACCATTGACCTGGCGAAGCTGCTCGAGCATCCACTGCGTTCTCCTGACAAAAGACGTAGAGCCTTCAAATTGCTTCACCTTCGTAATAGATGCTTGAGCTGGTTTCTTGTTCGTCACTGAACATATAAAAGAAAAAACATATAACTGAAATGGGCTTAATGTTTCAGGAACATGTCATTTAGTTCACTGTATCTGGAACTGGTTTGCTAGTGTATTTTCTATAATGTCCCACAAAGTAAATACATGTCACTGATTCTGACAGTAGAGCACATTCCCTTTCCTGGATAACATACTGAAAAGCGCATTCCTTATTGTCAGAATGACGGTACGATGCCAAACAAGCATCATACTACTCAAAATTTGATATATTTTAGCCATTATCATTATTAAGTCACCAACACCCTGTAAAAACAGAACTGAACCGAAGGTCTTTCCATCTGCATACTTACACTCACCTCTACTGTTCTCTTTTCCCCACGCTAATTAGCAGAGGTTTCTCATACCCAGCCTCTTATTAATTTCTTTCTCTTCTTGTCATTTTAGACAAGAGAGCACAAAACAAAAAAGACATCTCCATGTCAGTATAAGTCCATTTATATACCTTTTTTTAAAAAAAACTGTTACTTTAGACTGACTTTCATGTTGGTGATTTATTGAAAAAAAATATAGGTTTCTCCAGTCTTTTCACAACATCACATGTAGGTCACGCTTGTGTAACACCACCACCATCTATGACATTGAATTCCCAATTTCCAGTCAACAGACATAAGTATATGCACTTACCGTACTGAGAAAGTAAACCCACCTAATCAGACAACAGTCTGTGAAAAATACAGTTATAAGAATTAAGGAACTAAAGATCACTCGACCCCCCCAAAATATTAGGTACCACAAACAAAGACCATAAATAAGAACTATCTTACTTGTTATAAACAAAATATATGTTAAAAACCACAAACAAAGTCAGTCATGCACAACAGCTCTGCTTTTTTTGGGAAAAAAAAAAGCAATATAAACACTCCAATTAGTGTATCCTTAACTCAGCATTAGGTTTTCAAAGAGTACTTAAACAGTAAAGCTAACTTTTCAACAGCAGGAAAATTGGCTTCCTGTGTTAGGATTTTTCTTTGAACAAAAAAAATTTTCTTTTCATCAGCGTAACTTTTAACCTCCATGAAAGTTTTATAAGCAGTTTTAGGCACTTTCTATACTCATACCCTGTATTTTATTTACATGTTATTTATCTGTTGCTGTACGCTAAGTCACTTCCAAACACATTTCCACTTTCTGTGAAGAAATAATTTGTAGAATCATTGTACTGCACAATCTACTTTACTTCCAAAAATCCTTTTATCCATATGGTCCTCCAAAAAGGGTATTATTGGAAAAGTCACTTTTCTCTGCTTTTAGATGCTGGCAGTTAAAGAAGGCTTTTAAAATAATCCAAGACTTGAATAGTAAGATTGCTTATTTTTGTGTACCCCCTTTACCCAAATAATCAGGAAAACTAACAGGCTTCCCACTCTGAAGATGCATACTGCGTACACTTCTGCACTCAGGGGCACTGTTATACAGTAAGTAAATATTGATGTAATACCTCATCATCCCGTAAAGTTAAAAAGATAATGTTATCTCTTAGGATGAAAATTTACCAATATTTACCAAAATTTACTAATGCACAGCTCACTGTCTTGATGTTAAATGTACTTTGGAATACATCAGCAAATTCAGATTAATATGAAAAGTTCTTCTCTATGTCTCAGATTTACACATTTTCAGTTCAGTGTGTGTCCATTCATGTGAAAGTCCAAGTATGCTTATGAGAACTTAATTTGATAAACAGAAAATTCATTTCCAAAGAAATTTTAGTAGGTAAAAAAAATAAAAAAATCAGATACTAACATTCCACATAGCAGATAATTGTTTTGCTTTGGAATAGAAAGCATAGTTGGACTCAATATATTGATAAGACTATTGATGAGAATGTAATAAACAGATTGCCAGAAGTCTCTTAATCAGCAGTCGAAGCACTGAAATTGGTGCAGTATGCGATTCAGAATCACATGTCAAATGGTACAAAACAGAGAAAATCAATGTACTATCAGAAAGGTAGCAGCAAAATTACATCAGAACAACTACTGAAACGCAATGACTAGATATTACTAAGAAGTGAGATTAGTATTAAAGATTAATTGATTGCTCAATGGCCTATGCGCCCAAGCATAACAGTATCAATAAAGCAGAGGTAACAGGCATCCTATCTATACTTACATAGTATATACAGGTTCTGTTTTTATTGCAAGATTACACACCGAGTGGGAAACAAATTCAAAAGTTACATGAGCAGACCACAAACTCAGGTCCCCACCTTCCCTGAATTCACCCTTTCTAATATTTACTCTCATCTTTTTTGCGAACCCCAGTGATCACTTTGGCAGACTCTACAGCACTCCACTGGACTGAGTTTCACGTATTTTCTACAAAGCAGAACTAATAGAAGGCTATCTAACAGTGGCTCAAGTTTTATGATCTGTGGATTATTCCCCTTCCACGCAAAACAGGCAATAATCTACTGCTGAATGAGCCATGTATTAAAAAGAAAAAATTGTGTATACTATACATAAGCCACATACAGAATTAACACTAGCTGCATTGCAAAACAAAAAGTTCAAAACCAGGAAGCACTAGACAGAACAATTATGTGATCAAATGCTATTTTTTCCCCCTCAGAATCTCATGGCTAATCAATTATGAGATGTATAGCCTTAAACTTTAATAAACTTCTCACTGCTCTGAAGGCTTCAACATGGCATACATTCTAGTGCTCTTAAAAACAGGGGTCATTTCAAGGTGAAAATATCAAGGGTTTTTTTTTTTTACAGGTACGATAGTTAAACACTAAATGTCTAATCTCAACATCTCCATAAATTGTTTGGCTGATCTGACATATCCAAAATCTAATTCTCCAAACTTCTCTGTATAGCATTTTCAATAATCAACGACGAGCAGCTTTGTCTTCAGCTGGAGCCGTCAGTACTCTCTACTTCGGCAAAAGAAGATCACATTAAATGCCTAAACTTTGTAAACTCTTGAAAATGTCTATTAGTGATCAGCTATAAAAACATCTTGATTAGATGACTGTTTCTATAGCATCCACCATACAGTAGGTCTGGGAGAGGCTGAGGGGACTTTTCTTTTACAGAAGAGCTTACAAAGGTCTTGGGTATCTTGGGTAAAAATTCAGTCTCAAGTTAGCTGATGTGATCCTCTTGGAAAAACGGCAGTTCTTCCTTTAGGTCTCACATTTGTAATTATTGTGCACAGCCATACAGATGTAGTTGCATTTCACCTTTTGTGTCTTGGTATTTTAGGAAAAAGCTAGCATTTCTAGAACATTCAAAAAACCAGCTACCCACAAACCCACCAAACATGCTTTAAAATCTTCATTTAGTCTATGACAGCTTGACAGTAGTATGGCAGTCATTACAACTCTGTGAAACCCTTTGGCAGCTGGGAAAAACATCCTCACTAGCTGCTCATTATGTTGCTTTGCAAACTAGAGCACTTCTACACAAGCCACTGAGTGGGTGTTACCAGTGGGTGTTACCTTGCAAACATGTAAAAAGTCTTAAATCTGAAAATAATTGGATGCAATTACATGCTCCTAGCCACATTCCCTCTCTGACAAGTCATTCAGATGTGTTTGCTAAAATCTTCCACAATCACCTTAATAAAATAAAAGACAATATTTAAGTTATACTTCAATTTTAGGTGGGGTTTTTTGTTTGCTTTGCCTTTTTTTTTTTTGTAACAGAACTTAACATTATGCCTTTAAAATACGAAGCTGTAATAGTGTGGACAAAGCACACCTATTTTGAACCCATCAATAGATGGTAGGTCCATATGGTATTTGTGTGTCACCAGATGCAAATAAATAAGCTTTTTTATTTATTTATTTTTTAAAGGAACATACAGTTGTTGGTAAAGTAAGAAAGAATGTGTGAGAAGTCAGCTACAGCAATTCATGATGGAAGACATTGTGAAGGTTTTTTTTGTTTGTTTGTTTTTTGGTTTTCTTTTTTTTTAAACACTAGATTAACATACAACCAGAAGTTGCCAAGTCAGAAACAGCACTATTTCTTCTGGGATTGAAGACATTATTAACCATTTTGCATGATAAATAAAAATAAGTTACAGTATTAAGTTTCAAAGAGGTTGTTAAATCTTGAGAGGCATGCATTTAAGGGAAATACTCTGTTTCAAAAGCAGACCAGAGAATATGAGGCAGAAATAGTCAGATCAGAATTAGCTTTAGAGAATGCTGTGACAGACTCAGGAAAGTGACTGTTCTCATCATTTGGAACACATGGAAACAAACGTATTTGAATGCCAGACCTCAGCTATAATCCAGTACCATGTGCACGTCTAGCATCTTAAGCAGCAGATCAATACAGCTCTTCACACAGAAAGCTAAGGGAGACTAAAGTCACAGTCCAACTTCATCTCATCTGCAGTCCAGAATATATTTTCTTTATTTTTTCAGTCTTGTAAAGTATCTTTACTTGAATGGAAAAGATAAAATAATGAAAAATGGTTAATTCCTTAAATACCTATCCCAAAATACCTGGCCTTGAGAAACGGTCTCAAAGCTCTAAACCACCTCACTATGAACTTTTATTTATTTTACCAGATTTGAAATGCATATTTAAAAAGCAGTGTCTGTCCTTGAAGTCTTGGCTCTGAATATCTGTGTTTGTTTTGGATGTTCTTTAAATTTAATAACTCAAACTCTAGGTAATTAGGAATCTTATGACAAATGGCTTGATTGCCTCACAAAATTTCTAGTCATATTGCAGTGTATTTCTGAAGTGCTGAATCACTGAAATAACTACCAAAGGGAGAAATTAAAAAAGTACAAAGTCTTGAAGCAGGCAGTGACTGCTGCAACTGTTCACATTATAACAAGAATTTTTTTTATCTGGGCATGGCACAGATTAATAAATTAAGCAGCCTTAATTTAGCTGCTTTAGCCTTTTATTGCTGCTAGTTCTTGAGGGGAAAATAAAAAGAAGAAGAAAATAGTGCAAATGAAGTAAGATCACTCAAAAAATTACTT